ACAACGACAACAACACCGACGAAGACGACGACATACCAACGGCAACATCACCAGCGCTTTCGTTATCGTCATCATCAACATTCTCCTCCTCATCAGCATCATCCGCATCATCATCATCATCACAATCAGCATCACCGTCAACAGCATCAGCAGCAGCGTCTTCGTCATGTTGGTCCTCATTGCCATCCATTTGCATTACACCATCCATCAGCATCAGCAGCCGCCATATACCACCATCACCCGAATCTTCATCATCAGCATCGACATCATAGTCATCGTTATCGTCATTGCCATCGGCACTGCTGTCATCAGCATCGCCATTGGTATCCTCAGTGCCATTATCTTTAGATGCATCGCCATTACCATCACCATCATTATTATCACAACTGCCACCGTCATGAGAATCATCGTCATCATCCTCATGACAATGACAGTCGTTATCAGAACCAGCAGCATCACCATCATCATCACCACTGCCACTACCACCCTCATCATCATCAGCATCGGCAGCATGTTCATCAGAATCAGCATAATAGTCCTCATCATCAGCATCAAATTCATTATCATCATCATCATTAGCAACATCATCATCGTCTTCGTCATCGTCGTCACCGGCATCAGCAACTTCATCGTCACCGACATGGGCATCGGCACCACCTTCCTTTATCGTTACCATCATCATCAGCATCATCACCATCGTCATCATCATCATCTTCGTCGTCGTCAGCATCATCACCAGCATCACAGCCATCAACACCATCATCATCAGCAACGTCAGCGTCAGCATCATCATCATCATCAGCATCATCAGCATCATGATCGTCCGCATCATCATCGTCAGCAGCATCATCAGCATCAGCATCATTATCATCAGCAGCAGCATCATCAGCATCATCGTCGTCATGTCTTCAACGGCCTCGTCTTCATCGTCTTCATCTCCATCGTCACTAGTAAGACCCCGCATAGCAAATGTATGCATCTTGGTACTCGTGTGTTCGTCTTTTCGCTGGAAGAGCAGAACAAGTCGCGAACGCGTGCGCTCAGTGCGAGGACACGGAAAAGGAGGAAGGCGGAGGAAGGAGGAGGAGGAGGAAGAGAAGGACGAGGAGGAGGAGGAGGAGTTGGAGGAGGAGGAGGAATTATCCCGGCAAAGCAATCTAACAGCGATGTGTGTAAGCATATCTGGAAGCAGTCCCCTTAAGATTCAGGTGAGAATCCAGTTGTAGAATTCTGCTGTTCTCACAGTCGCAGTCGCATTCGCAATGACAGTCGCAGTGGCAACGGCCTTAGGATCCAATGAAATCCTAAGGATTCCTAGGGATTCCTAAGGCATCCTTAGGCATCCTTAGGAATCCATAGGAATCCTTAGGAAACCTTGGGAATCCTTAGGAATCCTGATTCCCAGGGATTCCTAGGGAGTCCTAAGGATTCCTGAGGAATCCTAAGGATTCCTAAGGATTCCTGAGGATGCTGAACTATGCCTACGGATTCCTAAGGATGCCTACGGACTCCTAAGGATTCCTAGGGATTCCTAAGGATTCCTATGGATTCCTACGGATGCCTCAGCCTGCCTTAGTTTCAGCCTCAGCCTCAGCCTGCCTCAGCTTGCCTCGGCCTCAGCCTCAGCCTGCCTCGGCCTCAGCCTCAGCCTGCCTCAGCCTCAGCCTCAGCCTGCCTCGGCCTCAGCCTGCGCCTCAGCCTCAGCAGCCTCAGCCTGCCTCAGCCTCAGCCTCAGCCTCAGCCTCAGCCTGCCTCTGCTTGCCTCAGCCTCAGGCTCAGTCTGCCTCGGCCTCAGCCTGCCTCGGCCTCAGCCTGCCTCAGCCTCCCCTCCTTCCGCCCCCCCCCCTTCCCCCCCCCAATTCAGCCTCACCTTGTCTCAGCTTCGGCCTGCCTCGGCCTCATCCTTAGCCTCAGCCTCAGTCTCAGGCTCAGCTTGTCTCGGCCTGAGCCTGCCTCTGCCTCAGCCTCAGCCTGCCTCAGCCTGCCTCAGCCGCAGCCTGCCTCAGCCTCAGCCTCAGCCTGTCTCAGCCCCGCCTGCCTCAGCATCAGCCTCAGCCTCAGCCTCAGCCTCAGCCTGCCTCGGCTTGCCTCGGCCTCAGCCTCAGCCTGCCTCGGCCTCAGCCTGAGCCTCAGCCTGCCTCAGCCTCAGCCTCAGCCTCAGCCTCAGCCTGCCTCAGCCTCAGCCTCAGCCAGCCTCAGCCTCAGCCCTCAGCCGCAGCTTGCCTCACCTCAGCCACAGCATCAGCCGCAGCCTCAGCCTGCCTCAGCTTCAGCCTCAGCCTCAGCCTGCCTCGGCTTGCCTCAGTCCCTCAGCCTCAGCCTGCCCTCGGCCTCAGCCTCAGCCTCAGCCTGCCTCAGCCTCAGCGTCAGCCTCTCAGCCTCAGCTGCATGCCTCAGCCTCAGCCTCAGCCTCCTCAGCCTCAGCTCAGCCTGCCTCAGCCTCAGCCTGCCTCCCTCGCTCAGCCTCCTCGGCGTGCCTCAGCCTCAGCCTCAGCCTGCCTCGGCCTCAGCCTGCCTCGGCCTCAGCCTGCCTCAGCTCGGGCATTCAAAATATGGCACAGGACTGGTGTTCTGGGAGCACGAAGATCACGAAGTGGCCCACAGTTGGCTCCGGGCAAGCAAAATGTGGTACAGGAATAATGTTCTGGGAACACGAAGAATACGAAGTGGCCTACAGTTGGCTTCGGGCATTCAAAATGTGGGCCGGGAATACTGGTGTTCTGGGAACACGAAGAACACGAAGTGGCCCACAGTTGGCTCAGGGCATTCAAAATGTGGCCCGGGAATGGTGTTCTGGGAACACGAACATGAAGTGGCCTACAGCTGGCTCCGGGCATTCAAAATGTGGCCCAGGAATGGTGTTCTGGGAACACGAAGAACACGAAGTGGCCTACAGCTGGCTCCGGGCATCCAAAATCATGCCCAGGAATGGAGTTCTGGGAACTCGAAAACCACGAAGTGCGTTACTGTTTGCTTAAAACGAATTCCCCGGCATCCCCCCGGCATCCTCCCCCGGATCGCGCCCAGACACCCCTGGGGCGTCATGATGCTCTCTTTGACCCTACTAGAAACCTCTCGGGCTTCGCTGTTAGGTAAAAGAGGAGGAGGACGAGGAGGAAGAAGGAAGGAGAGAGAGGAGGAAGGAGGGAGGCAGGCAACGAGCGATGGGCAGGCGCGTTCAAGCTGCCCCAGGACGCTCTGTCAAGGAGACAAGTTTTGTCGGCCTCGGCAGGAGGGAGGGCGGGAAGGAGGGAGGGAGGAAGGGAAGGAGGGAGGGAGAGAGGAGAAGGAGGAGAAAGAGAAGGAGGAGGAAGGAGGAGGCAGGGGGAAGGAAGGGAAGAGGGAAGAGGAGAGAGGGAGGGAGGGAGTTTTCCCCCCCCCCTTCAGCAACAGCGAGTGCCTCCAACCTCAGTGATTGCATATCACCACAGCAGGGCTGCGCCGCAGCGTGAGACGGAGTGACGAAAGGCGGCAGTCAACTCGCGCACGCCCGTGTCCGTGCGCAGAGTGCTCGAATGAGCCATGAAGCAACGCGGACAGCGACAAAGCTGGAGCGAGGGAGGAGAGGAGGCAAGCCAACGAGCCAGGGGCGCGCAGCACGTGCCTGCGAGCGCAGAACTGCCCCGCACGGGTGCGTGAAGAGGAGCCCGCGCGTGCGGACACCGACCAGGCATGACTGGTGGCTCTCGCACCAGAGACCCCCGCGGGCGGTAGCAAAGCCAAACCAAGCGACACAACAGAGGGGAAGAAGACCGGAGGAGAGGAGCCGCAAGGAGGGAGAGGCCGACTACAGTACAACGCCAAAGCAGCTGGGCAAGTAAACTGTATCTATAGAAGTGCCCCTGCGCGGCAGCACTGCGCCAGGCGCGGACCAACCCAGGGCGGCAGAAGGCAAGCCCAGCGTAGAGGCTGGGGTCGCCCGACGGCGGCCGTGGAGCGGCCCAGAAGTTACACTACAGACAGAGAAGCCCTCAGAGCGACAGGACGCCGTGGGCGGTCCGCTCAGCAGCGTCGGGTCGCAGATGGCGAGGCCGATGGACAATACACGATGGATTCTTCTTCGGCGCTGGAGTCGGAGCCGGAGCCAAAGCTGGAGTAGGCCCTGGAGTCGGCGACGGAGCTGGAGTCGGAGAGGGCCTGGGAGATGGAGCAGGAGCCATAGGGATAGTCGGAGCTGGAGTCGGGACTGGAACCAGGACTGGAGTCGGCGAAGGCGTAGACACAGAGGGAGAAAGGGGCGAGGGAGGCAGGAAGAGAGCAAGAAGGGATGAGGAGGAGGAGGAGGAGGAGGAGGAGGATAAGAAGAAGGAAAGGAGGCGGGGAAATACTACTACTCCTACTCCTACTCCTACTCCTACTCCTACTCCTCCTCCTCCTCCTCCTCCTCCTCCTACTACTACTACTACTACTACTACAACTACTACTACTACTACTACTAATAATAATAATAATAATACTAATGCTACTACTACTACTACTACTACTACTACTACTACTACTACTACTACTACTACTACTACTACTACTACTACTACTACTACTACACTACGACTACGACTACGACTACGACTACGACTACGACTACGACTACGACTACGACTACGACTACGACTACGACTACGACTACGACTACGACTACGACTAC